TAAAAAAAAGAAAGAAAAAGAGAACGTCCGAGTTTACACTGGATGGACAATGTAGTACAAATAGGCCAACCACTTGCTAAAAGAAACTGTAGAATGATAGCAAACGACAGAGATATGTGAAGGAATTTTCAAAGGGAGGCCAAGATCCAACTAGGATCGTTGCGCCACTAATGATGTTGATGATGATATAAGTATATAGTATATGTATGTACTAATTAAATTAAGCAAATAAAGTAAGCAGTACTTAAAACAGTCAAAATAAGTAATAACAATTGACAAAAGTGCTAAGTAACAGCACAAAAAACCTTTTTGAAGAAATAGCAAAGGTGATAACAAACAAAAGCGCCAATCACCATATCCAAAAATGGACAAATAAAACCAAATTCGAAAAAAAATTGCTTACTAACAACAACAAGAACTGGCAAAGATGTTGCAAGTGCTAATTAAAATCACTAAAAAATATTTAACACAAATATCCAAATAGCATCAGTTAACTGTCTCGATGTTACCCATTTACCGCCAAACAAATTGCTACCATAAAAGGCACCACCAAAAACAGGCAAAATGGCAGGAGAAAACCAAAGATAGTTCTAGCCAAATACACTCAAAATTGGGTAAAATGATTTGCATAGACATGACAACTTTCGACCAAATAGCAAGAATACGAGCAAAAGTGCTAGCTAATAGCAGCAAATATTGGCAACGAAAGATTAATGAACACATATACGGCTTCACTCTGTTCTATTACTTTGGAATAAAAGTCGTGTAAAAACATTTTTAACGATAAAAAATTAATTAAAAACGTAAATTTCGGTTAGTAAATTTGGGTTGTAAAAATTTTATTTCGTCTCTGTACTAAAAAATCTTAATGTAAGCTCCGTGTAGGGGATCCTTATCAAGGAGCATTGCACCCTTTGCAAGATTTCGTTGTTCGATTTGCTGGGTGTATCCTATAGCCAAACAGTGTATCGAGTTTCGTGTAAGTAGCCAGGCTTATTTTTTCAGTTTTCGAGAATACTGACTCTTCTATATACAAATGTTTAATATTTCCTAAATTATTGCAGTTTTATTTTATTTTATTTATTTAGCAGTTATTTTTTAACAGATTGAACGTCTCCTGGTGGTGTTCGGTAATGACATCTACATCATAACCATATCAGATATATCTGCTGTCAAGAGTGCATAAAGAATATACCCCAGTACATTTCTCTGCGATACACCATCATTTATTGCATAAAAGTTGGATGCATTCAATGTATTTAAGCAAGTTAAGTAAGGCAACTTTTGGATATAGAAGTTTCAGTTATTCAAATATGATCTGATAGAGTAACAACGGAAATTATGATTTTTTTTAAACAATACAAAGTATTTCCACACCCTGTCAAAACTTAGATAAAATTTGGACTAAAAAAATTGTGAGGAACTATGTTTTAATATCAAAGATTTCGATTATTATAGAGATTAACCGATGTTATTAATCCAAAGTGGCGTAACATGTTCTAAAAAATAAAATATTTTTCGATGAGGTTCGCAGAGTATTAATGACTACAATATTACTGACTGCTCGAGAACTGGTAGTAGAACATGAAGACAGGTAAGTGGAAGATACTTCAGAAAATTAAATGAAGAAATGTAGACAAAAGATGTCTTCAACAGGTTTAATGTATTTCTTCCAATCCTTTAGTGGAGTGTAAACTGTTGCAGACTTCAAAAGATTGAAATCAAAACAATCCTCTTTTTCCAACGTAAAATGCAACAAATTTCTGAAGTTAAAGAAGAAATAAGGTATATTTAAACAACCTAATCTGTAAGATAGATAGTTCTGGAGATTATCAGGTCATCATGTCTATTTTAAAGACCATATAATATATTCAAATATATTTGGGGATCTGTAATGTCAGAACATTTACTTCTACTTTAAGGTTAAAGTTGGGAATGCTGCTGTTCTTAGAAATCTACTAGAAATGTTTGACTTGCGTATAATGGTAAGACAAAGTTGTTAGGCAGAAGTCCAGAAATTTATTACAAAGAACTTTTCTTTTAAAAGTTTGTAAAATTCGACGGTGCCAGTAAAAAATTCAACGTCTTAGTATTTACAAGATGAATTTTTCGTCACACAAATGTAATATGGAACTGAATATTACACTATCTTTGTTTGGCTTGATATTTGCTATATGGCACTGGCGCCATAGTCCAACAAAAGCCATTAAAGAGAAACTTACAAAATGTATGAAAACCGGAAAAGTGACGAAAGTGGTAAGCCCAGTATCGTCAACGTTCTTCAAATATTTAAAAATGAGTTACTGGCTTTTAAATTTCTTTAAAATCTTGCAAGTACTTTAGTTTAGAAAGGACCTTAACACTCAATGTTATTGAATTTTATAATCAATTTTATATTATAATTAAATTAGTCTTAAGCAACAAAAAAATATGTTTTGTAAATAAAAATATTTGGTACTGTAATTATTATTAAGCTTAGTTCATTTTTCATTAATTGTGTGCATACAAAAACATAAATTTTATTTGGTTGAATCCAGAAGTGTTAAATAGGTCTTTGCAATCACAAACGAAAATTGGGGTATTTGAATAGTCAATATGTTAACATACAATAAGATTTCAGAAATAATGAACATTTTAAGTATTTCTGGACGTTATTAGATTACTCGTACTACAAGCCTTTATTGAAGGCTTTAAATTAATTTTCTAAATACTTATGTGAAACTGATGTGGAGTTGCTTCATAAAAACTGTTTTCTTTAGTAACCAAACCACATAAGTACTATAAGAATGCATGCTGGATATCGATCAATGTCTGATCAATTTGAGACGAATTTTATTTAGATCTTATTAAGTAAACTTTCAGTGATATCCCCAAGGAAGGAATTATATTTTTTGAGTTTCCTTTACTAGACAATAAAAACTTAAGAGAATTGAAATTACGAATAAACCAAAGTCTCAGTTATTACCACGATTAATTTACGTCAGCACAGTTGTTAATGTCCTAACACAATACTAATATCGTTAGCTACTAACTAGAACTAATCTTATTTCTCTCTCTTACTTATTGCTAAAACTCCAATTAAAAATTGACATAGTGTCATATATCACATTAGAACGTATACCTGCATGGGCAAAAAATAGGGCTGTGAACCTAGCTAGGGCACTGTTTTTAAAAATAGGTGCCATAACTGCGCAGCGGTGTCAAACTATAATCTTCCATAATTTGTTCACAAAAAATATTTGACATTTGCTGTCATATAACTATGTTTCTTAGTTGGTACACATAGGACAAGATTAGCTGATTAGCTGTTACTATAGAAGACGTTTATAGTAACTCCTATAGAAATGGAAACTCCTTCGAAGATCTTTTTTCTATTTCCTTATTATACATGTTATATCTTATAATATAATATTAGATTATATAATTATAAGATTAATTACACAAGGACTTGTAATATTTCACTCTAATCTAATGTGAATTTTGCATTAAGAATCTAATCCACTGAATGGAATGGCTGATCTGGTCCATGTGTATGTTATTGAGCTTCCACAATTAGTGATAGCGGATTTAGTAGTATTTTCCAAGTGACTAGGTTAATGGAAATGATCTAGAAGCGAGGAAAATGGACATTACACAAGTAGAAATAGATGTTAAAAGACGATCGTTTGTGGGCAACAGCTCGAAATTCGAACCAGGAGGGGCCAATAAAAGTGGATGCATTATGGCGATTCGAAACGCGATCATATAGAAAGCGCAGGCAAACGAATGGTATACTTTACTTTATAGCATGTGTTGTCAGTGGCTGGAGAAATGGAGAGAAAATCAATATATTTAAATGAAAGCGACTTAACATATATATATTTCTCATATTTAGTTTCCTAGATTGCAAACCAAATCAAGAATTTTCAAAATAAATTTCTGCTGAAAATATTTCCGAACTATATGACAACTCGTGTTTTAAAACACTTAATGAAGCAACTTTTAATTTCAATGCACCCAGTTATTCCATACTCATTCTTGTACCTATTAGATACCTACACTTAGTACATAAATTTGGAAATTTGACCTAAAGTATATTGCACGACTTATATCAGTTTGAATTTGTGTTCAAACCATGATAAAAATATTTCTCTCAATGCAGTACCATAGATGTTAGGACATTCTATTAAAACTTACATTTTTTCTCCGTTTTTAAGGTAAGTTTTTATAAGTGGGAAAGAGTCAAGTTATAAATTTTAAATAATTGGCTGACTATATACCAATATAAATTCCGAAAACGACATTCTCTAACATAGATTAACATCAATAAAAGCTTTTTGATGGATTAGACCTTACGACAACGTCTAAATATTTAAAAGGACAGTTTAGTAGCAATTATGTGGGTTTTTAATCCATTTTGACTCATATTGCGGGAAACTGTTTTATATGAAATGCTTTTGCTAAATATTATAAATATAATTACTTGAGAGTTTTACTTTATCTGACATATTGCTCACTTCTATTCAACGATCTTCCATTATTAGAAAGTGGATTTTGTTCACAATACTCCTTCACATATTCGGAATGCCATCCACTCAATATCTTTGGTCCTAATACAACGACAGATTAACTTCGTTTCCAAATAATCAATATGTTTTTGTAAAGTGGCATTGCTTGTCAAAATTTCTTTTAATTTCAGAAATGATTCATTTCTTCAGAAAATTGTGTCGAATCCATATCTGGAATTCATTTTAGTCAATTTTTGCCAATTCACCAACACTTTTGTGTGTTCAGTAATCGTCAAAATAAAAAAAGCTTTCATATCAGAGAAATAATCTGGACTGAAGCTACTAAAAATTGAGAGAATTAGGCAAATAAAATACATTAATAATTATTACCGACTGGTTACACACCCATCGTATATGTACAAGTATTCAAATATTTTTCAGAGAAACTTAGTAACTGAAGTTAATTTTATTAAATTTCAATTTATATTTCATAAAATATAATTATTAAATTTTCAAAAAAAATAGTTATCAAATTTCCACAAAACATATTAAAATTTCTGTATTTCAAGATGGATACGCCTAAGGTAAATTCTTAAAGTTCTTTTAAAAAATACATCAAAACTAAATATAAATTTCAGAAAACTAGGAATTTCAGAAAAATAATAGAAGCCCTAGCCAAGGGAGACATATCAACTATTCTTGAGTACTCATCACCGGAAATGGATGAAGCCTTGCCCGATACGGCATTCGTTGTGAATTTAAAAGATTATGAATCTGATTTCGTTCTTGATTCAAGGTCATTTTGCTATGGCCCACCTGCCTCAAGGGCGGCAGGTCAGCCCAAACCAGTTACAAATTCGATACCGGTGGAAGGAACTCAACAGTCGCGTGAAGTTTTAGATGATGATTTAAATTTAGATCTCTTGTTTCACACTGATTCAGAAGTCCAAGCACTTGCAGAAAAGAACCCAGGAGGAAGTACACAGAAGAGTTCACTAAAAACAAAAGGAAGATCAACCGGTCTATATTTAAAACGGTCAGTTGCGGAGTGTTACGAGGAGGCCACACTTGGCGACATTTTGTGGGAGTAGTTCAACTACGGATATACAGCTGAAGTTTGAAAATTCTTATTTACTTTGAACTTTAAAAAAACTATTAAAAAACGTGTTTTAGTGGGGACATCTTTTCGAAATATGGACACAAAAAATAGAAAAATTTAAAAACAATCACAATGTCTTCACCTATAAGAATTGGAACATAAAGTCGAATGATTTGGGTTTTTTGTATTAATCTACACTAACAACGCAAAGAAGTGAAGGTGATACCATATATTTCACTATCAGAAACTTCAGAAAAGGCGGTTTTTGCACTAGAACTATTATTTCCCTATTAAAAATTAAAAGTTTTTGTTTGAAATTGAAATATATTTTGTATTACATTTTAAAACGGACGTTTCTAAGTGAAATTTAGAAGTGGTTTCATCTTTTTATTTAGTACGCTATTATGCAATTAAAAACGTAGTACTGCAATATGAAGAATGACAGGAAGGAAAGGAATAACATCTAGTAAAGTATCTTTCTGCAAGAAATATATATGGTAGTTACATCATTCTCGAGTATGATGAAACGATATAGTTTTTAGTAAAAATAACTACGATAATATAATGCTACTGGCTGCGTTATTATAGGCTTTGAAAGAAGTTCAAAATTTGAAAGTTTTTTGCAAATTATAATACTGTTGATTGGATCAAAATCGTTGTAAAATATACATGGCAATTGCCTATTACAGTATATCTGTAAGTTAAATATCGAAGACACCACACATTTCATTTTCAAGTTTGTAGGGAAAACGTTTCCTATGGCGCACCTTTCCTTTCTACTTAAATGCGCCAGAGAGCTTTTCTATAACTATACATTTTGCACCTTGTCCGCGTTGCCAATGCGTTACCCCCAGTGCTGCATACATAGGTTACTTATATATTCTTTACTGCTCATAAGTTCTAAAATTGCAGATACGATGCCTCCTTTATCTTTATTTTTCTCTCTCTCTCGCTCTATCTTTCTCTTTTTGAGTTTATTACAGAAACAAAACAAAAACAATTGAATATTGTTTTTTTGTTTTTGTATTTTTTCTTAAGTTTTTAAAAATTGCTAATCTTATTTCAATCACACAAGTAATAAAATTGCAAGCTCCGGCCCATCTTCCAAATTAAGTCATCATATTCATCATCGGAGTCTTCATCTTCCTCTTCCTCTTCCACTTCGGCTTGGACTTGGGCTTCATCTTCATATCCTTCAATAACTAAGAATATTTCATCAAGTTGATGCATATCCGGCTCTTCTTCTCTCAATGCACCGGGATGTTGTTGAATATATTGTGCTATGAGATACACAAGTAATTGCTCTAATCTAACCAAATCAGCTTCTGCATTCAGATCTCGTAACCCAATCCAATCCCAAACACCTGTTTCAAACAACTAAAGAAAAAAGTTTTCTTATTAAACACTATAATTAATGTCGATTTGTTCCGTTAATATATACTTTCGTATATATACGCACTTACCCATTTCAAAAGCCATTGAAAGAACTTTTTTGTATATACAAACAGTATCTCAGCGCCAAAATAAAAAATAACTGCAATGCATAACTCCATACATAAATAGTGGGTACCAAAACTCTCCTCGGACATCATATCCGGCATATAGATTGTTGATGACATCTTTAAAGTTGGTTGCTTAAATACTTCGGTATTTTAATATCTTACGTTTATGCAGAACTGTCAGTACTTCAATTAATTATTTATTGACTATGATCAGTTTTTTTCAATTGTCAAATTATCAAGGTCTACTTTTCTGCATTTAACTGAATGTGACACTATTTGGATGGGTAAGATAATTCAAAATTTGTCTACGTCTACGTTTAACATAGCAATGTAAAACTTCATTTCATGAACAATTTCAATTTTATTATTCTTTGTCATTAGCTTTCGAGAATATCTGTTTAAAATAAATAATTGCATATTTGGGACATGTGAAAAAACTATCCAATATCTGTAACTTCAATTTGACACAGACACAGGACACACGTTATCCCTGTGGATAAATCGGAACAAAATGGAAACATTTTTTTGACCGTACGATATTTATGTAACAATTTAATGGATTGTGATAAACGGCCACATCTCAGGCTCTGTAAATGATAGAGACTTAAGATTTTTGCGTTTTAAAGATAATTGATCAAACTTTCAAAAAATGTGAAAAACATTTTTTATATTTAAGTATTTATATTAACCGTTAAATTTAAACAACAAAAACTTTTTCCAAATATGTAGCGAAAATTTTTATTTTTTATAATTTACAGATTCAGTTTTAAATTTTACCGAGAAATAAATATTTTCAGGACGACATTATTTTTTAAAAATGTGTCTACAATATCAATTCTCAAAACCTCATAGGTCCATATCTCCTAGGAAAAAATTTCAAAACTTTTTCCCGAGATATAGGTCTCCTTATTTTATGAGAGGACCTCATAACCCAAATCGAAGCTGATGAGGTGATTTTAAATTAAATATAAATATCGTACGGTCAAAAAAATGTTTCCATTTTGTTCCGATTTATCCACAGGCATAACGTGTGTCCTGTGTCTGTGTCAAATTGAAGTTACAGATATTGGATAGTTTTTTCACATGTCCCAAATATGCAATTATTTATTTTAAACAGATATTCTCGAAAGCTAATGACAATGAATAAAAAAATTGAAATTATTCATGAAATGAAGTTTCACATTGCTATGTTAAACGTAGACAAATTTTGAATTATGTCACCCATCCAAATAGTGTCACATTCAGTTAAATGCAGAAAAGTAGACCTTGATAATTTGACAATTGAAAAAACTGATCATAGTCAATAAATAATTAATTGAAGTACTGACAGTTCTGCATAAACGTAAGATATTAAAATACCGAAGTATTTAAGCAACAAACTTTAAAGATGTCATCAACAATCTATATGCCGGATATGATGTCCGAGGAGAGTTTTGGTACCCACTATTTATGTATGGAGTTATGCATTGCAGTTATTTTTTATTTTGGCGCTGAGATACTGTTTGTATATACAAAAAAGTTCTTTCAATGGCTTTTGAAATGGGTAAGTGCGTATATATACGAAAGTATATATTAACGGACAAATCGACATTAATTATAGTGTTTAATAAGAAAACTTTTTTCTTTAGTTGTTTGAAACAGGTGTTTGGGATTGGATTGGGTTACGAGATCTGAATGCAGAAGCTGATTTGGTTAGATTAGAGCAATTACTTGTGTATCTAATAGCACAATATATTCAACAACATCCCGGTGCATTGAGAGAAGAAGAGGCGGGTATGCATCAACTTGATGAAATATTCTTAGTTATTGAAGGACATGAAGATGAAGCCCAAGTCCAAGTCGAAGTGGAAGAGGAAGAGGAAGATGAAGACTCCGATGATGAATATGATGACTTAATTTGGAAGATGGGCCGGAGCTTGCAATTTTATTACTTGTGTGATTGAAATAAGATTAGCAATTTTTAAAAACTTAAGAAAAAATACAAAAACAAAAAAACAATATTCAATTGTTTTTGTTTTGTTTCTGTAATAAACTCAAAAAAAGAAAGAGAGAGCGAGAGAGAGAGAGAGAGAGAGAGAAAAATAAAGATAACGGAGGCATCATATCTGCAATTTTAGAACTTATGAGCATTAAAGAATATATAAGTTACCTATGTATGCAGCACTGGGGGTAACGCATTGGCAACGCGGACAATGTGCAAAATGTATAGTTATAGAAAAGCTGTCCGGCGCATTTAAGTAGAAAGGAAAGGTGCGCCATAGGGAACATTTTTCCCACAAACTTGAAAATGAAATGTGTGGTGTCTTCGATATTTAACTTACAGATATACTGTAATAGGCAATTGCCATGTATATTTTACAACGATTTTGATCGAATCAACAGTCTTATAATTTGCCAAAGTTTAGTCAATTTATAAAAGTTTTGCATCCAAAAAAATTTCAAATACTTGAACTTCTTTCAAAACCTATAATAATGCAGCCAGTAGCATTATATTATCGTAGTTATTATTACTGAAAACTATATCGTTATACTCGAGAATGGTGTAACTATATATTTCTTGCAAGAAGATACTTTACTCGATGTCATTCCTTTCCTTCCTATCATTCTTCATATTGCAATACTACTTATTTATTGCATCATAGTATAGGCACAAGCCCGCTCAATTATTGAAAGTATAAGTATTTGTCCTGTATATAATCGATGCCAAAATCATTCCACCTTAGTTTCATTGCCAAGATTCCCTTTCGGCATTCTTTATGTTGAATCACTTCGTACAAACTAATTTGAAAATGTGAGACACAAGCTCTCCTAATCTATTGCCTTCTACTTAGTGATATCAAAAACATTCAGTATTATATTCTATGCCAAGATCTGCTCTTAAAATTATTCACATTTAACCGCTACCTTTTAGTCCTCTTCACAATATGGGGACACATATCCTCTCAGTTCTTTGCTTACAACCTTAATAATGCCAAAATCATTCTATCTCTGATTTCTCTCTGTAACAACATTGCTACACTGGTCATAAAAAATAGAAATACTTCAATCTACTCCAAACACTATTTCCGCAACTACTCTACCCCCTTCATTAGCTAAAACCTACTTAATTGGTTTACTTATTCGACATGCTTTCCGGCTTAGAACTACTTAACTTCAGACAAATATTAAGCGCTGAACTGAAAATATGTTGTCCTTTTTATGTCGGCGACGGTTATCTCTTTTGAAGTCCATTCCCTCGCTGTCATTTTAAGGGATTAAAATCCCACGTAGTCGCTTTTTACGCCTTCCACTTTTTGTTAAAATGAGTGAGAAAGAGCTCTGAAGCTTGTACTAGAGAAATCAATGTATCTCTATTTTAATTCGTTGGACTTGTGTTTCAAAATAAACCTGCAGTTTAACATATAAGCTCGTTCTTATTTAAATGCTTTGGTTAGTGTAACTAATTAAAATAAAAAGTGGCAAAAAACCTGGTACTTGAGCATTGAAAGATTGTGCAGCCTTTGCTACTTGTGGTAAAACACGATTAGTCATCGCTTCTAATTTGACAGTCACTAGTTCTAAACCTGACACTTGCAGTCAAAACAAATTATATGTGGACTATAAACTAATTAAAAAGAAATTCAAATATTTCTTAAGACCACTGATGATGAGTACTTGACAATGCTCGAAACAGTGTTATATGGTCAGCCAAATTTCAAAATTAATTAAATTTTTGTGCTTGTCGTTTCTTTGCTATTCGAAACCCTATAAATTTTAAAAAATAATCTTCTTTGTGATTATCAGAAAGCGTGGCTCTTTCTGCAAAACTAATTAACTTAAAAAATCTTTATAATTGTAATAATAATGTATAATAAATGTATTAAAATATTTATTTTGCTAGTTTCCCTGAAGATGGCCATAGAGAGATAGCTGAAATATCGGAATTATATATTAATAACATATAACTTCTTTAAATATAAATAAAATATTATAGTTTATATTTTGTAATTAATTTGACCAAGTCGACTGCTCAAAGAATGTATTATTACAACCATTTGCACATTTTCTGAATCAGATCCATAGACAGAGAATTGCTTGGGCGGGATTAACTGAGAGGGCTTGTGCCTATACTATGATGCAGGTAAAAAAAGTAGTACTGCAACAAGAAGAATTTCAGGAAGAAATGGAACGACATCGAATAAGGTATCAACTTGCAAGAAATATAGTTACACCATTCTCGAGTATGATGAAGCGATACAGTTTTCAGTAATAACATCTACGTTAATATAATGCTACTAAAAATTTAACTGCAAAATAGAAACAAATGATTGATTCAAAATATATATTTATTTTGCTTCCATCCCTCAGCACCTCTTATGCTTACGCTCCTGTTTGGAATAGATATTCGACGAATACCTGGGTTAAATCGATTGTAATGCCTTTACTAGTCTAATCAATTAAATTAATGTAGTTGTAACACTGTTATTAACAGTGTTCATGCTTGCGTCTTTCCAGTAGACATTACAGCGCACGCACTTGCTGTAGTAGCGAAACTCACCACACATTTTTAACATAACCAGAGAGTAGCAATGAGTTTGTATTGTTTTGTTTTCTTCTATTTTAAATTTCTTCTTTGTTTTTGTTTTTCATGCATAAAATGTGTGTGCGCGCTGTTTACTAACAGCAATAACAAAACCTGCAACAGCAAAGCCAACAGCAGCAAAGAAATTGATGGACAAGAAAACTTCATTCAGTTCCGGACGTAAATCGCTGCTGTGCGGTTGTAAAGTACGGAGAATTCAATAAGAGGAAGTGTTTCATTTTCGGTGTCATAAAGATAAATAAAGTCAGTTTTTATTCAAATTCAAATAGCAATTGGTACTGGTGTTTTGTTTTGTTTTGTTTGTAAATGCAAAATATTAACAAAACGGTTAAAAGAATTTTGAAGTTTATTCGTGTCAATATTTAATTAAACAAATTTTTGTTTTAAGAAAATTAAAAATTTTTCGTGGTGTAGAAAATTTAAAGTAAGTGCAATATAGTCCCAATAAAATATCAAATTAAATTCAAACAAAACAAAAAAAAGACTGAAATACTATTAAGTATTTTTTCAAAAATTAAAAATATTTTTTTTTTTCTACTTGTGTTCTTATTAAAAAAAATTTAATTTTTATAAGCAGCGAATTGCAGTCATTGCAGCCGCCATAAGCAAATAAAAGGAAAATCATAACAAAGCAAGCCAACGTCTGCTGCTTTCACATCCTTTTGGCATCCTTGCTTGCTTGCTTGCTTGGTTGCCTGCCTGCTTCATTGCTTGGCAAAAAAATAAAAAAAAAACATAAGCGGTGTTTGCTTTTTACTTTTTGAAACTGCTTCACATTGTTTTTTGCTTCATTTTTTTGTTTTTTCGAATGTTTTGGCAATCGAGACTTTACCTACCACTCGTATGCAGTGAACAGTAAAAACAGCATAAAACCAGCATAACATAAAAAAGAAGTGAAAAATAAAAATATTTTTTTGTTTGTTTGTTTGTTTGAAGCAGAAATCCTGCAAGTCTACCAAATCTTCTTGCCATTATTGCATTTCTACTTGCTGCTTTGCGTTCGTTCATTTTAAAGCAGTACAGTGAAAACAGTTAAAACAAACAACAACAACAACGTTAACATCGGAGTCGAAATCGGCATTGGCATCGACATCGACATCGACGTCAGCTTGACAATTTGTAACTATAACTGCAGTAACGGCATTGGCAGCATCAGTATTAATTGCAACAACAACAACAACAACAACAGTAATAGTAGCAGTGACTGTGACAATAACAGTGGCAGTGACAGTGGCAATAATTTTGATTTTGATTTTGATTCTTGTTACGACTGACCACCACAAGTGTTAAAAGCAACAACAAAAGCGGTGCAGTTGTCACGCGGAAAAAAGTTAATAAATAATCAAAAAAAAAAAAATAAATAAAAGAAAGTAAAAGTTTAAATATTAAACAGAAAATTATTCATTTTCATAGTTTTGTTGTTAACACAAGTTGAAGAAAAAGTGTGCAGTGTTTGTAAAAAAATTTTTTGTCAATAATAAATACAACAAATTTTTGATAATTACACATAGCAAAGGTGTAAATATACATGAAAAAAGTTTTTTTTGCATATAAAAAATTTATTGAGCCCGCAGCAACAAAGTTTCAAGTTGATAAATTTAAACAAAAAAAAACAAAAAACACAAAAATTATATAAAAATCGACGACAATAAATTGGCCATAATAAATGTGAGTAAATTTTTTAAAAATGTATTTTGCAATATTTTTTTATCAATCAATTTAGTGTTAGTTAAGTGATTAGACTGAACTCCTCAGAAAGTCTTGCTACCGCACATGGTCATGCAATGTGAGGGACTGGAACTTTCACGACTTGTTGACTTTTGCTCCGTGGTTAATAAAATGTATTAAAAACTAAGGAACTAATTAAATTCCCTGAATTTTAATATGTCCAAAAGAACTTTCCCAAAAAAGTGATGATGATAGACTTGGTTTCTTCTTTTTTTTTTATTATTAGGAAAGAGAACTACTACCTACATAAATATTTGTCCAAAATATAACTTTTCATAAAAAGTAATTATAATTATAATTTTTTCATTTTTCATTTAATTTTTTTATTAATCAATTTAGTGTTAGTTAAGTGATTAGACTGAACTCCTCAGAAAGTCTTGCTACCGCACATGGTCATGCAATGTGAGGGACTGGGACTTTCACAACTTGTTGACTTTTGCTCCGTGGTTAATAAAATGTATTAAAAACTAAGGAAGAAATTAAATTCCCTGAATTTTAATATGTCCAAAAGAACTTTCCCAAAAAAGTGATGATGATAGACTTGGTTTCTTCTTTTTGTTTTATTATTAGGGAAGAGAACTACAAACGTATATGTATTTGTCCAAAATATAACTTTTCATAAAAAGTAATTATAAATATCATTTTTTATATTTAATTTTTTTTTTTTTTGTTATTTTATTTTTTCTTTGCTAAAGCCATAATAACATATTAGTAACATTTTAGTCCAAAACAAAGCTTTCCTAAAAAGTGAGAATATATATAGATTTTCATTTTCATTTTTTATAAAGTTAGACTCTACATATTTTACCAAAAAAAACTTTTTTAAAAAGTGAAAATACATATTTCTCTTTCATTTTCATTTTTTATAGAGTCTACATATTTGTTCAAAAAAGAAATTTCCCAGAAAATGAAAACTGAGATTATTTTTCCCTTTTCATTGGGAAGACTATATATTTGTCTAAAAAAGGGTTTTTCTAAAAAAGGGTTTTGCTGAAAATGAAGTATGGATTTTATTTTTTATTTGATTTTGTTTTTGATAACAGAAAACTATATATTTATCCAAAAAAAACCTTTATTTAAAAATGAAAATATATTTTTTTTCACTTTTTATAAAGGAAGACTTTACATATTTATTCAAAAAAGAAGGTTCCTGAAAAGTGAAAACTAATTTAATACCATATATTCAGTCATATATTTTTTGATAAAAAAAAAGACTATATAGGCTTTTCTAAAAATTTGCTTTTTTTTCTAAGTTAGAATAGATTTTATTTATTCTTTTTTTTTTTATTAAAGGACACTCTAGCCATTTGTTCAAATTTCTTAAAAGTGATAATAGAAGTGATCTGTGTTTTGTCATACATATGTGAGGATTATAAATAGAAATTTGTTAATGTAATGATAATCTATTAAGAAAAGTAAAGGTGGTTAAGTGAAAAAATATTTTTCTTATTTAAACATGAAGTAATTACAATCTGCTTACTACCAATATTACTGATCATTGTTTAATAGATTAACATACAAGATACAGTGTTCATAGCAGAGAATAAGCTATAGCATATTTAATATGTCACAATTAAAGATTTATTTTTTGAGATATTTGCAGAACTGATCATAATGAACTTATAAATTTAGTAAAACTTATAATATTAATCATAAAGAGCAAACAGTTTGCCATGGATGATAAGATAAGTCTTTCAATAGTTTCAAAATAGTTCCTAAGCTCATGTTCATCTTTGTTTAAAAATGTCAATAACAACTAAGTAATAAATCGCCAAAAACACAGACTAAGAAACTGACATGCCTATGTATATCTGAAACTTTTAATTATTAGAAACTTGCCTTTGTTGAGAAAGTAAATTGCCTTCATATAGTCAAATTGTAGACCGACGTGCTTGACTTTAGGCCTATGTGGCTATTGGCTATATTAAATGATGTGTGTTCAAAAATTTCTCTAAGAGAGCATTGTGCCATATATCATACTTATACTTTATGTTTGTATATAATATAAAATATATCATAAATTATATTATTCATTTACATATTTAAGTGAAAGATATCTTTCACTTAAAAATACTATTTTCAAGACAATTTTTATTTGCATGCCTTACATTATCCCTGATTTCATACGACAGGTATCAAGCCCTACGCACAAACTAAATTTAAAGCTCTGTGAATAGTGAATAGTGCATAACTATCCAGTAATACAACATAAATGTTTTACGAAAACCTCGACTGAACATGTCCAAGGTTGCACTCATTGCAATTCAAGACGTTGTCGTGCGTATTCGGTCCCAAAGTTTATGTGTCTCCAATAAAGTAAATTCCGTATATCTACAAATGAAGAGATTTTGAAAAATTTAAAAAGAATTTGTTTGTGACTTAAAACCATATGTACTAATAATACCATTGTACTCATCACAACTTTCTGTAAAAATTATATGTTAATAATTAAAATAGTTTTTTATGCAAAATATGCATAAATATGGATTGTTAAAAATTTTGAAAAACTTTGGTAAAAAAAAACTGACAGAATTGAAACGTTAAATTTTTCGTATCTTGCAGGTACGTACTATGCCACTACTCTGTGGACTAAAAGCTAAAAACTTGTTGCCTGATTTTATTATTAGTTCTTATAGATAAATCTCAAAAAATATAATTTTTGGAGTTTTTCAATTATGATGAGTCCATTGATAAAATTGTAAAAGCATTATTTCTAGAATTCACCCTACGAAAAAAAGCAAAAAGTTCGTTCAGAAGCGAAAACCTGTACCTTAAGAGAACAATCTAATCGCTAGTTCCTAAGAGGTTTTAAATAGATGTATATTTCACTACGTCTGTCGTCTAAAAATAGTTCAAATTGCTACAGAGATAACTGCTTATTTTTTAAGAGTCAAAGTCCTGTGCATTTACGTAAACTGATATCATTATAGACAGTTCTTATAAAATGCCTAAAATGCCTAAAATCCACTATAACTGTTTCAATAATTTTACAATAGATTTGATATATAATTCCTCCGACCATGATTATAGCGGTACCAAAACTAACTGTACACATTTAGGCATAAGACTCTCTTTGATACAATAATTTTACAATAGACATGATCATTTCTAAGGACTCGATTTATTTTATTATATCTGTCTACTGTCAATTAAGAAATCATATTGTATTAAGATGATAGTATATAGAATAGTAAAAATTTAGATAAGCCTATACTAGATCTAAGCAGAATCTTAGAACCGTAGGCGAAGCTTCATGATATTCACAACTGCAATTAAATTATCAAACATATTATATAAAATATATAAAATTTTTATCCTTATATACCTTTTCTGTAATTTAAGTTAAATTTCTGATCATATTTCTTTGATTCGAAAAAAACAACTGGATCATATTTGCCATTCCTTCAACTTAAATATAATTTCTTTTTAAATTGATTTGATTTCTTTCCAGTGACAGAAATCGATTTCTATTTTAATTTTTTTTCAATATCTATTTAATTTTTTCAATTCGATTTCTCTCTTAATCCGTTGGATTTCTCTCTAAATCGATTTTTTAGCTTAGGTTAGGTTATGCCGATCTCTAGGAATCCGCTTAGGCCTATAGGTTCATTGTGTTACCGTATTATTAAAAACTTATTGTTTTTTTTTAAATCGATTCGATTTATTTCTGAGTCAATTTGATTTCTTTCTAAATCATTTTACTTTCTTTCTTAATTAATTGAATTTGCTTCACAATCGATTTTATTTCTTTCTAAATCAATTTAATATCATTTAAAATCACTTCGATTATTAAATCTTTCAACTTCTTTTTATACCGATCGGATTTCCTTCTAAATCGAATTGGTCCCTTTCTGTATCGATTCAATTTCTTTCTGAATCAAAATAAATTTTTTCTGAAGCGATACTAATGTTCGATTCTATTAATTTTTTTAACGATTCGTTTGATTTTTTAATCGATGTGATTTCTTTAAATATATTTTTCTGAATCGTTTCGAATTCCTGCTACATCAAAATGATTTATTTTTGAAGCGATTCGATCTATTTCTGAATCGATTAGTTTTTTTTCCAAATCGATTCGATTTGTTTCTCAGTCAATTACGTTTCTCTCTAAATCGATTTGATTTGTTTCGTTTCGATTTTCGATTCGATTTTTTTCTGATTCAATTCAATGTCCCTTTAAACCGAATTGATTTCTCTCTAAATCAATATTATTTTCATTTTTAGGCTGTTTTATATCTATTGAAAATGTGTTCAAATTGAATTGAACACTTAAAATTATTGTAATCTACACCATTTTAATTAATTTTAATTAATTTAATTAGTTTTGATTTTAAATCAATTGCATTTTAATTAGAATCGATGTAATTGTATTATAAATACTCTCTCTCTTCGTAGTCTAGCTTGTCAGAGTTACTGAAATTTCTTGGCCGCAATGCATTTAGCCCATATCACAAACCTACATCCGCAGTATTATAAAAATTAATTGAAATAAAAAAAATTAATGCATCACTTTTCTGTTTATATTATTATTGCTTGAAAATATTAATATTAAATTTTACTAGAAGCCTGTTAGCTACATCATCTTCTATATAATTTCACTCCCTCTGCATATTTGCAAAATTAATGCAATTTAATAGAACATCTAATTAGAAGTTTCACAGCATCTCAACCCCGTAAAGCGAAGTACGATTCGATAAGTTCTTCTACTTATACCCACACTCACATAGCATCTCTTGAATATTTGGAATATACATAACAGTAATGAGACATAAACCTATTAACTCGTACTGCTTATTCCTATATGCATTTGTAGGTACGAGTATCTGATACGTGTACTCGTGCATACTCAATTTGAAAATAATTTTGTTCTGAGAAATGTGAATAACTTCATCAAGCTCGTAACTTTAGTTTTATAACCCGCAGGGGTTAAGTCATAAAGT